CTCAATTTTGAAAAGAAAAGCTAAAGCAGATACTAGTTAAATAAGGGATATAATTAACAAAAAGTGGTCAAGCTAATTTGCAAAACTAAAAAAAAGTCAATCAATATATACAGCTTTCTCTTCTAGAGAACAAATAAGGACCAAAAATGAAAATGCATTAATTATTAAGATACAAGATATTTAAAGCTTTTTTAATAAGATAATGATTTTACTTTATGAAAGTGTCAAGCAAGATGTTATAGCAGCAAAGCAACATTTCAAAAAAGGCAACTATACATATCTAGAAATTATTTTCACCAACAAAAATACCCTTAGCTATCATGCAGCTAAGGTATAAATATTTTTAACAAATTTTATTTTAGATATATCCCAATAGACTCATGCAAGTCTTTTCTTTCAATAAAACTCAGAAATGTTCCATTAGAGGGAAAAGAAAAGATAACAATACTAATTAAAGATGTATTTTAAAATTTTGGCAAAATAGTCTCAATCAAACTACTAGTAATAGAAGAGATACTATATTTAACTGACCAGTGGATTGTCATCTTTGACACAACTGAAAATACAAATCTAGAAAAATAAATCTCTTGTTTTACTTATTTCAAAAATAACAAAATCACAATTGAATAAAAAGCAGCTCCTAAAGTCTGCTATTTTTGTGACCAAGAGGGACACATAAAAAAAGAATGCTCTCAATACAAAGAATCAGTTGTAATAAAACAACATTATTGAGAATTCAAAGAAGTCTTCAAGACAAGAGACAGAGATAGCTATAGCAAAGTAGCTCAAGAAGTAGAAAGTTGTCCAGAAACTAAAGAGAAAAAAAAACCAAAAAAAGAAGCAATGAGCGTAGAAACACCAAATAAACAAGAGATAAAGGATATCTTTTTTAGTATAACTGATGAAATAGAAGATATACAGAAAGAAGCTGAACAAACAACCACTTTCTCAGAAGCAGAACTTATAACAAGAGATGAACTATCATTTAAAAATAATAACAAAGAGAATAACTCTTCTCAAGAGAATATATCATCAGTAATTCCAATAAAAGAAAACTTTACAACAGTGTTTTACAAAAGAAAAAAGAACAAACAAATCAAAAACATACATAAACAAGCAACAGTAAAGCAAGTTCTATACAAAAAAAGATGAACAAAGGAAAATCCTTCCAAAGCTTAATAAGAACACATCTATTCTTACAATCTAATGACTAAAGCAATAATTAAAATTGCTACCCTAAATATAAAAAGACTTAATGATTAAAACAAAAGACAAAAAACAATAACACTTTTAAAATTATATAACTTAGATTTAATATTATTACAAAAAACAAATTTAAACAACCAAGCAATACAAACTTTTATTAAGAAGCAATAGATATATGAATCAATATGGACAAACAAAATTGCGATATTGGCAGAAAATAAAAAGATAAGATTTCAGAATACAGAGGTTTCACACAAAGAAAAAATAATCTTTACAAGCTTTATATATAGAGGTCAATCCTTCTTAGTTACAAATATTTATACTTCTCTGAATATAAAAAACAAAATAGCTTTCTTCAACAAGTGGTCTTTACAATACAAAAAAAAAATCATAAATATTCTGGCAGGAGATTTTAATACAAATCTAGACCCCACTATAAACAAAATAAGCTAAACTATATTCCAAAGTGACAATACTAGAACTCAACTCAAAGACTTGATAAAGAATTATATAGACTTTGCTCTATATGCAGAACAAAAACCTTTCCTCACATTTTATCAAAAGATTTAAAACAACCAAACAATAGCAACTAGACTTGACTATATTTTTATAAATAAGAACTACAAGCATCTTATATCATCTACAAAGTTGCTCTTTGGCAACACAGACTATTTATTAATTGAATATACTCTTGCTGAAAGACAAAAGATCAATCAATCTTCTAGTTAAAGGTTTGACAAGAACTCTTTTAAAAATGAACTTCTGAAAAAAGAAATAACAGAGAAAATCATATTTTTTAAAGACCTTGCAGAGTAAGATCTACAAAAGATAAGAATACAGTCAATTATAAAAGTTTTCAAGAAGCCAAAAGCTCCAGAAAACAAGATCTCAAAGATCAACAAAAAACTTATGAAGTTTCAAGAACAAATTGCAGAAGACCCAACTAAATTTTACTTATATATTGCATGTGAGGGTCTCAATTTCTGCATGCAGGAAGAGCTAATACTACTAGCAGAAAGATGGCAAATTTGCTTAAAAGCAAGGTGAATTGAACAAGAAGAGAAGTTCACAAAGTACTTTTTCTTCTACTACAAGTCCAAATATGCAAACTCAGCTCTCTCAATAGTCAAAGAGTCTAATAACACAAACAAGAGCAGAAAAGAAAACACTCTGAAGTTTATTAAAATACAATATGAAAAGATCTATAAAAAAGAAAAAACAGACCAGAAAACAATCAACAAATTAATTAGCAATCTGGTACAAGTTTTAGAAAAACTAAATACAGATCTAACTAAACCTATTATACAGGAAGAAATTAGCCAAACAATAAAGCAGCTTTTAAACAATAAATCACCAAAAATTGATAGCTTTACTTATGAGTTCTATAAACTTACAGAAAAATAAATAGTCCCAGTTCTTAAAAAAATCTTTAATCAAGTCTTAATAGCAGAAACACTTTCGGCATTTTGGTACAAAAATATGATTACTCTGATATTTAAGAAGTTAGTGAACCTAGACAATTTGAATAATTAGAGACCAATTTCACTAGTCAACTATGATACCAAAATTTTTATAAAAATTTTAGCTACCAGACTAAATGAAGTTTGCAAATTTATAATTTCAGACCATCAACAGGGCTTTGTTATAAAAAGATCAATAGCAAATATAGCTCTAGATATTCTCACAACTATAAGAAATCAAACAGATATTACTAAACAATACTAGATGCTTTTTGTTGATCAGAGAAAACCCTTTGACAAAGTAGATCACACTTATTTGCAAACAGTACTAGAAAGAATGAACTTTGACATAAGATTTAGAAGAGTAATTAAAAATCTGTTTTTAAACCAAGAAGTATACATTATAGATTTAAAAGATATCTCAAGCCCTTTTATAATAGAAAGAGGAGTTTGACAAGGAAATTCTCTTTCTTTTTTTCTCTATGTTATAGCTTTTGAACCATTATTGAAAGCAATAAAAAATGAAATCAAAGGAATACTAGTTCAAGAATACTATTTCAAAACAGTAGTATATATAGATGATTTAACAATAAGGATAGAATCTTTCTCAAACTAGAGCTAAGTACTAGACTTATTTCACATATATGAAAAAGTATCTAATGCCAAAATCAATGAAAGTAAAACAAAACTAGTACTTTTTACAATATGGCCAGAAGGGTTGAGCTTATAAAAGAGAACCAATTTACAAAAGTAGCAGAGCAAGAAGCAATCACAATATTAGATTATGAAATCTATTCAAATGGAATATCCAAAAAAGACTTATAGACTATAGTTACCACAAAAATCAAAGTCTCACAAACAAGTTTTCTCAAAGAAACTTCTTCTTTAGAGAAAAAATCCTAGTAACAAATTCACTTATACTTGCATATATATAGTATGCTGCATATCTCTTACCTCCAAGCAGAAAGCAAGTAGCAAAAATCAACAGGCTAATTACCATATAGATCAAAAATAATTCCAGAATGCTTCTCAGATACTTAACCTTTCAGCTACTATACGAATATAGAGGTCTTCAAGCCCTAATAGTTAGCAACATACTTAATATAAGAATGCTAACTGTATAAACAAAACTAACAACTAGTGATTGCCTGTAGACAAAAATCAAACAAAGCAAAATCTCTGACTCTTTAAGACACAAAAGAGATATCACAATATTACAAGCTTTAATAATATCTCCAATCAGATCTAAAGCCTGAACAACAGAATGAAAACCATATCTAGCAGCATAAAAAAAAATTTAGAAGAAAATTAAAGCAGACTATAGTTGGCCTTGGAGATTAGAAGATCTTATAATTAATGAGAAACAAAACATGAACCTTATAATAAAAAACCTAATAGAAATTCTAAGAAAACAAACAATAGCTCCAACAAACACGATACTCTCAACAGAGATAAAGATGAACTGGCTATTTACAAAAGAAGCCAACAACAAGAAAAAAGATATATTATAGCATATGTATCACAAGGCTCTCCTATTAGAATATTAGCTGTAGCATATATCTGCAACAGAGTCAGAAGACTGCTTTTGGTATCCAAACAAACTTCAAACAATAGAATACTTCACACTTGAGTATAATATAAGTAAAAGAATATGAAACAAAGCTTATAAACTTCTAAATATTAAAAAAATATTAATTCCATCTTCAATTGAAGAAATCTTTATAGCAAATAATCTCAAAGATATAAAATATCACAAAATAGCTCTCTGGCTGCATATGAACACAATTTATGAAATTTGGTATTGGTTTACGTCACATAAGTAGGAAAACTTAACAATACCAGAAACAGTAATATCTACATATATTAGAAACCATATCTCCAAGAAGATAAAAGTAATAGCTTCAAATCTTAATAGCAATTTACAAATCAACTTTATTTTATTTTTTTTTTTTTTTTGGTTTTCAGAAAGACACTTGGCTGGCTCCTTTTTTTCGATTATAGTAAACTTTTAAATACTGCCT